GGGCGGTGATTGGTGCTTTACTGCGCTCGCAACTGCATAAAATCATAGGAGCGCGAGGGACACACTAACATTTCTAGTTGGTAGGAATTTTTGAATGGAGCCCGGGTGGCAACCGAAGCCTACTCTTATCGATTTTAAACCACAGACAGATCTTTACCGTGCGCAACTTGCACACAGGACCTCCGAGATTTTTCGCCCTTTTCCGAGAAGGAAAGGTGTAGATCTTTCCTACCAGAAGATCAGGGGTGTGGCTGAAAGACAGCAGTACGAAAGAGTCAAGGAGTGGAACTAGAAAGGCAGCAGAAAGAAGCAAGAGCCCAGAGGAGGGGGCAAAAGAGATGAGGAGCTGGGGGCAGAAGATGGAGACGAAAGCAGACGACAGAACATTTTTAGAGGGCAGGAAATGATGTGAAAGGAGACAATTTTCGAGAAGAAAATGTTTTCATGACTACCCAGATTCGAACCCCAGACCTTTGAATGTGAGGCGAACACCTTAACCTCTAGGCCACTAGAGCATCCTACCCCTCCTACCCTAAGGGGTTTCCACTTGATTATATTCAGGGGTAAGACTTGCTACAACATGTTTTAGATTTGGCTCCTTTGAATGTCCTCCCATGAATGTGAATATCCTCCAGTGGGTGGTTGGAGGGTGCTCTGGTGCGGTTTGCTCCTTCTTTCCTATCAAACATCTATCGTTTCTTCTTTTTTGTGTTTGTTACTCTCTTGAGACACACCCATTCTTCGGCACTTATAGACGTTATTGTGTTGCAAGTGCCGTAAAACGCTTACTAAAATAAATACTGAATGTCCTCCCTTTCAATGCGCCCAACCCCGACCCCTTTCAATGTCCTTCCCTCAATGTCCTCCCCAGCTTCCTCCAGGAGCGAGAGCGCGGCAAGATGGGCGCGGTGTGCCGGTCTTGGCGGGAAGCCTCCCAGAACCCGGGCCTGTGGCGGAGTCACGTGTTCTATCTGTACTCTCACTCCGAGGCGCCGCGAGGGCTGAGCTGGCTGCAGGCGAGAGGGCATGTCAGTCGGCCTCTTTTTCTTTTGCCTGTTGTTGCTGTTGCTGTTGTTGTTTTTGAGGTTCTGACTGTTGTTGTGATTGTTGTTGCTGTTCTTGTTGGTTGTGGTGGTGTTGTTGGTGGTGGTCATTGCTGTTGTTTTTGTTGTTTTTGTGGTTGTGACTGTGGTTGTGATTGCTGTTGTTGTTCTTGTTGGTGGTGGTGGTTGTTGTTCTTGTTGTTGCTGCTGTTGTTGTTGTTGTTGTTGGTGGTGGTGGTGGTGGTGGTGGTGGTGTTGTTGTTGTTTTTATTATTATCATTGTTGTTGTTGTTGTA